TTTTTTTTTTTTTTTTTTTTTTTTTTTTGGTACCGGGGAATCAAACTTGGAACCTTGGGCTTACGCAACAGGCGGCAGAACCACTGAGCTAAACTCCCGGCTTCTGGTTTTCTAGGTGGGGGGTTGATTTTTGAGTCAGGGTCACTACAGTACAGGCTGGTCTCAAACTCGGGATCCTCCTGCTTCAGTCTCCCAAGTGCTGAAACTATAGGCAGCTTCTTCATATATTGTTGGGAGTTAGGTTTCCATGACTGCTCCTTCCTTCCTCCCTCCCTCCCTATCCAATATTCACTTTAGAGAAAAACCGGAAGACATATCTGAAAATAATAAGTAAAAGCCAGCTGGATGTGGTAGCACACTCCTGTAATCCCAGCTCTCAGGAGGCCAGGCCAGGAGTATAGAGAGTTTAAGACCAGCCTGGTCTTTACAGAGGGCTCCAGGGCAGACTGGACATCACATGTGCAAGGCTCATTTGTGTGGTGACAGTTCCCCACTTACCTCACTTGTAAACATGGCGCAGAAGTAGTCACTGCAGGCAGCCAGCACAATCCGATGGGCAGGAAAGTCTTTCTGCTCTACTCTCAGCGTCACATCACAGAGGGTATTGCTCTTCCTGAGGGAGTTCATGGAGTTGAGGATGGATTTAGCATGAGTATTCGTCATTATGTCTTTGGGGGCCATAATGCCTCCCATGAAGCAATATGGAGGAAGAATAAAAGGGGTCCTTGGATTCTGCAACTACAACAGAGTAAAATAAAGAGCACATGTGAATAGGAACTGAACATCCTGAATTAGCTTTACAAATTCAGGAACTAATAAGCTTCCCCAGACCCAAACACTCACAAGTAGAGAGCCCTCCTATCTTCTAGCATCACTACCATAATCTAGATACCAACTACTCCAAGTCAAAGTTACGTCCTCTGCTGGATGTGGTGGCCTGTAATCCCAGCACTCTGCAATTGCACTCCTGTCACTCTGGCAGACAGAGACAGGAGGATCACAAGTTTAAACTTTGCCTAGGCAACCTAATGACTTAGTGAGATAGACTTCTTTCCTTGTTATTACTCACTAAATAATGCTTTGACAACTACTCACATAGCATTTACACTGTATAGGGTTTGAGTAATCTAGAGATCACTTATAGTATATGTGAGAACGTGCATAGGTTGTATGCAAGTACTATGTAAACCATTTTATATAAGGAACGTCAGTATGCAAAGATTTTGGTATGGGGAGGGTTCCTGGAACCAATTCCTAGTAGACATCAAGAAATTATTTCTGGGGAATTAAATGGGGGTAGTTATTATGATAGATTTTATTTGAAATCCAGATCTTAAACCAGGCGTGGTGGTGCACACCTGTAATCCCAGCACTCGGGAGGCTGAGGCAGGAGGATCGCTGTGAGTTTGAGACCAGCCTGGGCTACACAGTGAGCTCCAGATCAGTTTCAACTACATAGTGAGACCCTGTCTCAAAAAACAAAAACTAAGAAACAAAAAAGAAATCCAAATCTTTCTGAAATGAACCAATAAAAGAAAAATCAAAACTGTGGTCTTCAAAAAGTCCATTATTTCAAAAGTAGACAGGTGTGGTGGTGCATGCCTGTAATCCCAGCACTTGGGAGGCTGAGAAGGACCACCGCAAGTTCAAGGCCAGCCTGAACTTTATAGTGAGACCCTGTCTCAAAAAAAAGGAAGAAAAAGAAAAAGGTCCATTACTCACAGTCATAATTTTTGAATAGGAAAATGACAACCTACATTCTCATCTGGTTCTGTTTACAATTACTACGTCTGTATAAACACTCAACATTTTCTCCAACAACTCTGCAAGATCTATTTTATAGGAAAAGGAGGGTTTTGGCAAAGCATATGTTTTCCAAAGAGTCCCTTAAATCAACTTAGTTTCAACTTTGAAGATGCAAGAAAGGTCTAAATAAATGTTGACTGGCGATGAAGATTTTCTGGGGCGCCACCACAGGCCTCTATCTGTGCTTGAGCTTTATCGTGAAAGTCACCTCACGACAGAATGGTCTTTCTCTGGGGATTCCTGTCTCGTTCAGCTGTTACACTCTTCCCCTCACCCTTCGGAAGTGGTCTGTTCTCTAACTTGAGCGGACACCTGAATAGAAGTGTTCCACCAGGGGAGATTAGAAGCGGAAGGGGGTACCAAATTCTAAAAGGTTCGATTCCACATTAGGAAACGAGGTCTCTCCCGGAGACAGCACCAAGTTTACAGATGGCATGGCGGGGTGGAACGTTGGGAGGGGCGCAGCTCGGGGGACAGTGGAGAGGGGACGCTCGAGGCCAGGTGCCCCCCACTCTCCTCCCCTCCCTAAATCCCTAATTCCACCTGGCAGGGAGACGAAGGATGGGGGCAGGGCCACAAGCGGGAGCTGAGGGTAGGAAGGAAAGGGCTGGCCGGTACCAGGTCCGCGTTAACAACTCACCTCGGCTGCCGGCCGCCCAGCCGGCTGGGTCAGTCCCCGCCAAGGGGATGGAATGGGGTGGGTGAGGAGCCAGCAGGCGGCTTAGCGGG